AATGCGTTTTCAGGATAGTAAGTTGTTACAAGTGAATTGGGAAGACAGACTAAGGTTTGTTCAAGAGTAGGTGTATGACTATAAATCAAGAATTCTGTAATATTTCTCATATATCGAGACATTACGCTATGACGAATTCACAATGAAACTTGCGGAAGGAAAGAAGTTTGTATGTAGATTTTCTAAAAATATTTCGGGGTTATTCCAACAAAATCTTACATTTCCCACGAATAAACATTGTCTAAATCCAATTCTGAAAAACAGCAACGAAAAAGCGATGATCTCTCTCCAAAATCGTGTTTTTGGGCGTCGAAAAAAATTGGCCATATATATTTTGAATACATTTTTTTTATTGTTTTTGCTAAATTTAACACCTGGCGATCCCAGAAACCTTTGCGCAAGGAGGGGCTCGATTATCATCTCTGGTTTCAAGAAAGTCGTTTGACCCAAGTATTTTAAACGCCATAAGTGCGTTTTCTTAAAAAGGCGGAATGCGGGTAGATTTTTGTTAAAAACAGAAATGCAAGCAACAAATCACTAAGCCATTTTATAAACTAAGAGAGGATGTCAGCATCCATCGAACAAATTTGAAATATTGTGGCAATTCTAATAATTGTGGTGTAGTTTTTTTGTGAAAATATATTTTAGTTTTCGAGTAATTATTTTTTTTGTTCGACCGCTCAAATATGCAAATTTTCATCGTGAATATTACCCGAGTTGTGTACCTCATGTAACGAATATACTTGACCTCCGGTATTTCTGTCAACATAATCCTTTGTTGTATCATCTAAACTTAATCCCCTGTCATTATTGAAGCTGGCAAAGAAATATTTCTTTTTCGGTGAATATTTCTGTTCGACATACTTTTTCTATGTCGAAAAGTAGCAAAAAAAAAAAAAACAGTTGTAACAGTGACCGATATGACAGAATCTACTGAATTTCTAGCTTTTAAAAGGCAAAAGGATAGTTATAAAGTTACTGTAAACATTTCCTTGTGTATTTGTGTCGTTCTATAGTGAGACGAACTCAAAGTCCGGCAAAATTTACTTGCTAGCGAGTATGAAATATACATCTTGTGCCTATTTGTCGCCACCGTTTACTGGCATAAATCACTACAATTTGTAAAAAAATGTGGCATAATACTCTTATCTTATTTATTTACGATTTTATGAACTGTTTCGATGATCAAGTTATGCTCTACCACATTTTAGCCAGATTTAATTTGCAGTTTATAAAACTTTTACACGTTATTATATCAGTTACATGACAAGCGTGACACATAAATTCAAAGATGAATCAACCTCCGAATTACCAAGAGATGGGTTTTTTCCCTCTTTGCATATATATAAAAACCTTCCAAGAATTACTGTATTCAGAAAACTAAAATGTTCAGATCCAGCAATGATTCCTTTCCTGGCAGAAGTCAAAGAATGTTCACAAAAGTCAATTCGATTGACAAGCTACCTACTGACTTAGCTAATTGATCTGTTGTGTAAGCGTTTCATCTTACATGCTAACTAGGAGATTTGCTGACAAAACTTTTTTCTCTTCATCGAAAATCACATCAAAATTTGGCCTTGCTAAATTTCAAGTGTGCTGTACGTATCAGCACCCCCCGAGGAACCCCTATACATAAAAGGGCGAGGATGCGCGCTGGGATTTTCGAAAAATGACCCCTATAAAATTATTAAAGGTACCCGAGTCTTATCCGTGAGGGAGTGGCAACAACTGATGTCTACCCCTAAAAAGTACCAATTTAAACACAAAAAGTTGAAAAATCCTAAAAATAAAAACTCCTTTATCGATATGCTCCAGAGGCTCAAGTCAGATCATTAGAATCGTCCTAGTAATGCTTATTTCAGGTATTTTATTGAGCGAAAAACATCCTAAAATGTACCAGCTAGGTCTCTGGTAGTCCACTTAAGTTAGAGACATCGTAAAAGGTACCAGATCACTGATTTTGATCCCTGAAAGGTACGACAAGCATCCTCACCCATAGCCGGTCGCCTGGTGACTCGTTTCGAATAATTTTATTCTGCTGTCATGTGGCGACCGGGATGAACTTGTTCTTGAACAAAAGTCATTCCGATATCATGTAACAGGCCCCTAAGAATTTTTATTCCAAGAGCATCACACTTTGCTCTCCCGCCAGAACACGATAAATTTCAATATGCGCTGCTACTGAAACAACGATTACCGTATTTCTTCACCTAGAAGCCGAGCGATTTTTCAGTATTTGACACAAAAGTTTGGGAGATTTTATCACAAGGAACGGGGTTCGGCTTATAGCCGAGGGTTTGGAATTAAAAAACAAGTACAAATTTAATGTTAATGCGAAATGACCGTAAATTCCTGACTGCAGCGCTCTTTACGTGACATGCTTTAAAATTGACATGACAACGAAGTATTTCTGACCACCAATCAGATTCTTTGCTTCCCACGCATTGAAAGATGAACTCACTCAACTTGGCAAAATCTCATTTCACATTGCAAACGAAATATTTGGTCTCTCTACTGTGAAAATCACTCCATCGCTTGCTCGTCCAGTTCGGGACACTTGGGAGTGAAACGACCCATTTTTGCACGTCTTGCAGACAGAAAGAATAGTCGCTTAGTCACGTCTCCAGCGTCGCACCATGGACTCGCTAAGTCCATTATCTCAAGCGATTTCCGAGCTGTTTTCTACAGGTTCAGCCTCTGCGATAACTTTTATCCTGAAAGCCATAGTATACGAAGAGCGACGCGCTTTTGGCATGATGAAAAAATAACAGTGACTAAAGAGATACTCAATTGAAACGTTTGTCAGGTTACAGAAACTGAGAGTATTGTTGTGTTTCTACAGTTGCGTCATAGTATTCACATCTTCACTGATTCCCTTTTTTTTCTTTTGTGTTTATTCTCATTCATTAGCTTTTGTGTTCATTGAGCCATTTCCCGATTTTTTCCCGTGAGGTTCGCTCACTCAAATGGCCGGTTACAATCAAGAATTTCGCTTTCGGCTTATAGCCGATGGTTTTGCGTTTTCTTTTGGCCAACACAAGTCTGTTGGAAGGTCTTTAACTTTTAGGGTCTCGGCTTATAGGTGAAGAAATACGGTAGTGACCACAAAAGTAACATATTGTAATACTGTCAATTGAACATAAACAAAAATCTTCATACAGGGTAAATATTCATTTGTGTTGGTATCAATTATGCGTGACTACCTTATAATATACATAGGGAAGGGGAAGCACAACGTAAAACCTGGGCTCCCGGCAAAAAGTAATACCCAAGCGTAATCTAATAACCGAAACAGTTTAATGGTCTTATAAATCTTAAATAAACAAGGTAAGCGTTAGTTTTTTTACAAATTATAGTGATTTATGCCAGTAAACGGTGGCGACAAGTAGGCACACCATGTACATTTCATAGTCGCTAGCAAGTAAATTTTGCCGGACTTTGAGTTCATCTCACGATAGAACAACAAAAATACACTAGGAAATTTTTACAGTAACTTCATAACCATCCTTTTGTCTTTTAAAAGCTAGAGGCTCAGTAGATTCTGTCATATCGGTCATAGTTACAACTGTCTTTGTTTTGATGCTACTTTTCGACATAGAAAAAGTATGTCGGACAAAAATATTCACCAAAAAAGAAATTGTACTTTGCCAGCTTCAATAATGTCAGGGGATTAAGTTTAGATGATACAACAAAGGATTATGCTGACAGAAATACCGGAGGTCAAGTAAATTCGTTACATGAGGTCACACAACTCAGGTAATATTCAAGATGAAAATTGGCATATTTGAGAGGTGGAACGGAAAAACTAATTTCTCGAAAACTAAAATATATTTTCACTAAAAAACTACACCACAATTATTAGGACATATTGGGCTACAAACTACGAAAGTAGGAGAGAAAACGAACTTTGGGGACTTGCCGCTGTTTGTGTGATGCATGTTGACATTAGCTCTACAACTTAAAAGTTGTATAGCTGATGTTTAGTTACTGTTTAACTGAGACATCAACCAGAATTCTAATGTTTAGAGGATACGTCGCGCGTGAATTTCCAATCCGTACAACCAAGAAATTTGATACCAGCTGGAACACAATATGATTTGATGCGAAATCATGACAACAACACAAAATTATGCTTTCTAGAGTGATAAGGTCATTAAAACCGTTGCTAGTCCATATACATAATTATTCCAAAAGTCTTTCGACTTTTGGAATAATTACAACTCGCAGTCTTTCTTTGTCGGATGATTCAAGAAGAGATTAGCGATGTAAACATAGAATTCTTCATCTCCGACCTAGATATTGCTTTAATTCTTAACCAAAACAACTAGCCAGTAAAAAAGTGCGCAGATCTCAGAGAAAGCAGGTTTCTTTTGTGTGGTACATTTGGCAACAGCCAAATTACTTCCTGTTTCAGTCACGCGCCGTTAAGGACAAATCGAACAGTGTCGAAAGCAAATGGTTACGCTGTAACCTTGTGAATAACGTGATGAATAGAAAGGTTATACATAGTCGATCAGATTCTGAAGTGCTTTAAGAAATGAAATTTATAGTCCACTTTGGATTACATACACAAGTCTACACAAATAACACAGTTCTATAGGGTCATTTACGAGAAAGAAATTTGGGGTCTGTGAGCAGCTTGGGTGAAGGCCTTTATAAGAGGGGGACATATCGCACCGAAGGGGGAGCACAGAGTTTTCAGGGGGAACAGAGTGGGGATCACTCATCGCTAACAGAATATAAAGACTGCCATTTAACTGCTAATGGGGGAGGTTGGAGAAGATAATAATAATATTACAAAGCCTTATGGGGGATCAGTTAAATGTTATCGATACACAATCAAAATCCTTCAGCCCCCCCCCCCCAGGTGATTAATAGTGACCCATTTCAAAGCAGCCTTATGCACCTAAACAGAATAGATCTTCAAATATTCAAATTTTTTTTTCTTCATTTTTGAATATTCGTCTTGCAGAAATTTAGTGTCAAAACAAGTTCAAGCCCAAGTCGAAGCGCGACTCCGAGAATTAGATCAGTCAGAGAAAGAGTTGGTTAACACCTTTAAGCAGTGGATACCAAAGAGGAAACTCACTATGAAGAAACTGGAGGAACTAGCATCCAAATTACACGGGCAACATATAATTGCCAGTAAATCGACCATAGGAGGTGCTTCCTTGGGCACCGTAGGAGGAATCCTAGGGATAGTGGGCCTGATCGCCACGCCCTTCACTTTTGGGGCCGGGCTTGTGGTCACCCTCGTTGGCACCGGAATCGGAGGCGTAGGAGGCCTGGTGATGTCTATTGCCAAAGTAATCGAGATGGCTCTCGAAAAGCTAGGATTGAAAGAAGTTCAGAAAGCCATTGACGAGGACAGGGAAGTTTGCACGCAACTGCAAGAAAAGTTGGCCAACCTTGATAAGATCATCTCCGACCTAAGAGGAATAGAAGGCAATGGTTTTGAATTTATTTACAACGAAGCCACAAGGGGGTTTACGACTTCAAATGAGAAGAAAACAGATTTCCCCTTCAGGTTTTTCCGGGTGTTTGCGTCCGTGGCTTCGGTAGGGGCTGAGGCTGCCGCTGCTGCTGGTGCCTTCGCGCGAGCTGGCGTCTTCGCGCGAGCTGGGGGTTCGGCGG